AAGTAACATAGCATCAAATCCTAGCTGATGATACAGTCACTGTTAATGTTGTATCACAAACTTACCCTTACCTATACTTTCTTGTATATTCATTATTCTCTAGCTTATATATATATATATATTCCATTATCTCCAATATAAAGGCTTCTTCCAGAAGGAATCCCAAAGATACATACCTTTCTCTCATTGTACGTATCCGACCTTAGATGTATGAGTAAACTTCTGAACTCTTTACTTATAATGAAAAACATTTTTGGCAAGTTACTTTCTATTTAGCTTCAATATGCATGTACATATAAATATACATACATACATACATACAAACAAAAGTGGTGAGTTTTGTACCTGAGAAAGAATTTGTTAGATAGAAAATTTCAGTTATTGTGATCTTTTTTTTCACAGTTGATTTTAGCAGTACCTTTTTTCTGGCACAGTTTAAAGGCAACTGATAACTACATGTTTGACAAAGTGGAGTGGTTCAATATAAAGTTTAAATGTTAAAATTTTCCTACATTGAAAATATATTTCTGAAAAATACTTATCTCTTTCACATAATAGCTTTCCTCGATTTATACTGCCCTCTAAATGTGCAAATGTTTTCCTGCCAATAGCCTTTATACTCCCACTTACTTCCACATGGTACAGCTGTGTTGTAGCATGCAACAGCCCTCTACCAATAGGAGTGAGACACACTATCCTAGTGCAGCTGACTCCCTCTGTACAGTAGAACCCAAGTTACACTTCAAGAATAGGCACAAAAAAACCACAACGTAAGTGGGGAGAACATGTGGGAAGTGCGAGTGGAGTTAATTATCTATCAAAAATATATTTTCAGTGTAGAAAATGTTAACTTCTGATATGATAACTTATACTCACAAAATAGCTAGATTAAAAACTGATCCATGAAGGGACTGATGTGAAAGTTACCGAGATGAGTCTCCTCCATAAAGCATCTGAAGAGGATTCAAGAAGTGTGTCATCTCAATGTAGAGAAAAGACACGCACATGGGAGACTGGACCACATCTGAGCCAAGTATACTCTTCACCTCAGATAAAGATGTTGCAAAAGAGAAGAAAATGAGGAATATAAAAAAGTGCCATTGGTTTACAGTGGCTAGGGTACATTGGACTGTAAGCAGAAGGTCAATTCCAGTCCAAAACCAGTGGCAACGAGATTGTATCTCTCAGCCCACAGCAAGAGGAGGGTCCTCTACCATTCACCTCACACCCAGGAACCAAAAGGGAAGAAGTACTTCCATTCTGAGAACCCGAGCCATCATGTATACATAATCAACAACTGCACCCTCTGAGAACCAACATTCGGATGACAGTAGGAAGGTGGAACTGCAACATGGTGGGTTAACTCCAGTTCAAAACCATGCGTCATTGGGAAGGTATCGTCCAGTCAGTAGTAGGAGGAGGGTCCAGCCCACATGTGAGGACTTATATTGACTGGTATGTATCCAAGAAACACCTGTCACCTGTCAACCAGCATCCAAGTGGTGGTAAGAAAGATGGTTCTCACTGAGAGATAGAAATGTTGCAGATAAATCTAGTCCACACTATACAACATCTGGAATCCTACAACATATTTACAAAACAATACTCCACAAACCTACAAGAGGTCTTGCAGAACACTCCATTTTAGATGTGAGAATTAACAATGTTAATCATCGTACAGTGCAGATTTAAGAATTATCATATCTGGACAGGCACCACTTGCCACAGAGTGAGATCCCCCCCAAAAAAACTTGAGGAAGTCCCTAAAAGAGTAAAATAAATAAACAATAGACACATAACCACTCATACATGAACCTATGAGTGAAGGATGGTCACAGGAGGTAGATGATGTCTGCACAAGAAGGAAACTTGCCAAAAACTGGAGATAATGTGACACTAATATATGAGGAGCGAACAACATGCTGGTCTGTACAATCTTGTATCAAAGGAAAATGATAAGAAGTAATCAAAGACACTGTGAGGAGACACGTAAAGGTGACAAGAGTCAGGAGACAAGGAGGAATAGGCTACAGGTAAATTTTTCTGAACCAACCAAGCAGGATAATAGGAGAAAAGTCACAGAAAACAGAATGATGCTTGTGTATAAACAGTCTGGAATAGAAGGGAGGTGTGCAGCAAGTCATAAAAATTCAGACACAAGAAACAGATAGTATAAGTACAGGAATATAATTGGGAAACTGATGGACAGGAAAGAGGAGTGAAGGCAACAGCCTCTGCATGTGCAGCAAAAATTATAGGAAGTAAGGTAAACAAGAGAGATGTGAAAGAAAGGTGAAAATAAGAAAGTGCGCCTGTAAAAAATGCACAGGAGTATCAGTATCAGGGTCAGAACCCCCAAACAAATTGTTGTGTGACATGAAAAGTATATGCCCAATAATGACATGCTAATGCATGAGCCTCAGCCACGAACAGAGAATGCAGTATGCAGACCCCAAACAGAATTGCTGAGCAAATCACCCAAAAGAGGAAGGAAACAAGAAGATCACAAAGACATACCTTTAGAAACCTCATTAAACTCTTCACATTGAATATGAGACCTTGAGTGAAGACTTCTGTGGACTACATCTGCTTTTGAAGTTCTGGACAATCTTTTGAGGTGCTTGATAAGTAAACCAAACTGTAAAAAACAGTTATAATTCATATTATAAAAGCATTTAAAGGCTTTGCAATTTGACTGCAAGATCCACCTCACAGCAACAGAGTTACAGCCTACTTTGCAATCTACTGTAGAAAAAGATACTACCTATAAACTTGTTTGAGAAAAAATATTTACTCTACTTGAAAACAAGGTTCAAACTTTCAGTTGTTTAAGAATATCTTATTTATGATAGAAAAAATTCTAGTATTCATGCATGAAAAGCAAAATAGACAAAATTTTAGTTATGAAGTGTAAATATTTATATTAAAAAATGAATTTCATTAAATATTTAAAAAAGAATAGAAAAAACTGAAATGAATAACAAATAAATTTTTTTTTCAACACACAAAATTGCATGTTCAGGAACAGCTTTTACCAAATTTAAATGTAATTCAACTTGCTGAAATGTTGTCAATTCTAAAGTATTATGTTAGCATCTAATCCAGTCAACCCTTAACAAAGAACAAAGTTTGAACATTACAAAATCATGGATTTCCGACTTCTATATGCAAGTAGCCCCACCAAGAGGAATTTCTCTCCACCACATATATATGAACTTTTACATCAGAGATTACTACATACTTGCAATCTTCATATGAAATGTAAACAGTTTAATAAAACATTATATGTTACAAAGTTAAAACAATTAATCAAGCCTCAAGAGATCTATCCTTTATTGTTTAGAAGAAAGAAAAAGATTGAAAGCTGTGTAGCTCAAGATTAATATATTATTCACACAATCTACAATATTATATTATGCTACAAGTACTATTTGGCTTTAAAAACATCAAAATATTCTAAAATAGTAACATAAAAACTGCAAAAAGGATACATTTTCACCGATCCAGTTCTTGTTCCAATGGCTAATATCCTCTGAATTGGATCATAAGCCACAGCAGTTGGTTGGAATGGAAACCCATGTCGAACAGTCTGAAAAAAAAAAAGAAGAGAGAGAGAGATAAACAGAAAACAAAATTGAGATTTGAGAAATGTAATTTATAAAAAACCAGTGTTAGCAAAAATGTTTTTATTAAATGATCAAAAATTCAAATCTGTACTGAAGAATGGGCTTTCAGACTGGTGAAACACTGAAAATGTATTTCTCATATGTACTTATCTCTAGTCACACAAAGCTACCTCAATCTATATACCTCACAAATTTCATACCACTATTGAATATGTGCATAGCATGTAACTACTCTCCAACGGTGGTACTACACCACCTACATTGGTTCAGCTAGCTCCCTCTGTTTTTCCCACTCAATACTCACTTTAGAGAATTAGCAGGATCTAAATGAATAACATCAGCACTGGGGAAGAATGGTGGGAAACATGTGAAAAGAGGTAAATACCTATCAAAAATACATTTTCAATGTAAGAAAATGTTAACTTCCAATACAGTCTTACCTCCATTCACATAAAGCTAGAATCCCACATTGCAGAAGCCTAACAATGAAATCAAGCAGAATGTGACCACCCAGAGTGAACAGGTGTGTTCCTAGATGAAACCAAAACACACATGTGGGGTACCATACTACCTCTGGACAGGTGTGCTCTTCACTCCTGAAGAAAGAAATGAACCTGATACAGGCTGAAAAAAGGATATGCACAAGTTTAATTCATTCTAAGAGGTGCAATCCATAATAACGAACTAGATCTAGCTACATATGTACCCAACCTCAACCAGACAGACGAGGTTCCACAAACTGTTTTCAGGATTAGGAGGTTGAGGATCACTCAGATAAAAAGGAAAATAGAGTAACATAAACACTGCGGCTAGAGCATGTGAACCATGTTAGATATACATATTAACTCCAACCATAAGTAAATAGGGTGTCATACATCAAGAAGCCAGAATTATGAAAAGGAAGTAAGCCTGTAGCCAAAACAGGACAAACACCCAAACCCACCATAGGAGAAATCAAACTTGGTATTATGGAGTCATGGCATTGCCTCAATTCAACCATTAAGAACAAGGCAATATCTGTATTAAGAGCAGAAATCTGAACTCACCCAATCATAAATACAGGGAAGAGACATCCTGCATTCAGAATTATAAGGAGGATATGGAACATTTGCTCAACCATAAGAATGGTGTATGTATGTCCTGTTGCCACTATTACAAAGCAGGAAAGGAACCTCCTGCAAATGGAATTAACAAGGAGCAGGCATCTACTGTACACAACAAGGTAATGTTATCCCAAACCCAGTATTACAAGGAGGAACCAACGTAGGCTGGTTCTGTTCTAACCAACAACTGTCCACATGGGAATAAGCATCCAGAGAAACTGGAATGAGGGAAACTGGCTTTGCTTTCTTCTCACTGAGACGATAATTGTGTGGATGTATGGTAAGTTAAAAGTCTACAATGCACTCAGGAGGAAGCTTCCATGGCCCACTACCCCAGTGAGTGGGATGTAGTAAGGACACCCTTGCTCAACTCAGAGAAAAGGGGGGAGTAAATGTGGTGGAGAATCTGGAGGAATGTTACACTGGAGACAATGCAATAGGTGTCCACAATTCCCTATCTTGAAAAGTCGACTGTCCCTGATTTATGCAATTGAGGGGTCAGCATGGATGGACAGAAATCCCCTTCTGGTTTACTTATTAAAGTCCATGAGTGATGGTCCACCACTGAGTGAAAGTTATGGATATAGAGAAACAAATGTATATACCACTGGGCAGGACACCAGCAGTCTTACAGAACATCAAATCTATACAGTGAGCATTATGCATTATAGCATTACCAGTAAATATTGTGGGTTTGAACCAAAGCATATCTGACCAGGCAACACCTGCAACAGAGTGGGATCACATTAGCAGTGGTAAAATAAAGAGGGTCTCTGAAAAGAAAACATAAATTAAGTGATCTGATAAAGACTTACCCCAGTCAAAGACAACACAACATGTGTAGAACTGCCTGCAAGGGAGTTGATATCCACTTGAGAAAGTTACAGCCAGATTGTGCAGATAATAAGTGACAAAAGATATTGGGAGTAGTCCACATTCTGGCCTGAATGATCTCCTCCAATGGAAGGTGAAGGCAAGCAGCCAAAGACATGTTGATATGACAAATTTGATGAGAAGAAAGATTATGGGGATGACAACCTTCAACGGATAACTCTGAATATGCTAGCCGAATGAGTTGAGAACCAAACTAGTTAAAATGACAAGGGATAGATCACTGGAAACAGAAGGACTCCAGGAAATAAAATATCAGAAACATGAACTCCAAAAGGAGGCAGTATGTGCTACGTAAAACTGTAAACAGCAATTAGGATCAGAATTGGAGTAAAGGTGGGAGATGAAGACAAGGAAATGGGTGTGAAAGCCAAACCACCTTCAAGGGCAGCATAGGTCTTAGGGAGGATGGACTAGTCAGGATATAGGATGACATAAGAGCAAAGGTAGAGGATTCTGGTAACATTAATGGCATAACTATTCGGTTGCAATGTCCGGAAGCAAGAAGGAGAAGAAAATAGGTCTTGAAGGACAGATGTTATATAGAATACTTCAACAGAGGTTCAAATGGAAGATGGGAAATAGCATAAAGAACCACATTGGAATCCCAATCAAACAAATCAAAGGAACAACAAGGATGTAAGATATGAAATGAGTGGAAAAGGAGGGAAATCCCACGAGAAGACAAAAACTTTGAAACTTGGACAAAGGGAAGGTGTTCAACAAAGCTTTGACATGGTCAAAGTGAATAAGCCATTGTCAAACAACCAGGTGAAGAAGTTGGGAAAATTAGGAACAGAATGGTGGGAAGGATGGAAACCATGTCAAAAAGACCAAAGGTGGAAGGTAGGTCATATTATGGGGAAAGCAGAGATGCAATATATGGAGTCAGTCCCAGGGCTGAGACAAGGGATCTAACAAAAGTCATGCATGAAGACAATGGGTGGTGAGGTCTTGATGAATGATGTAGGACTGAGGTTGACAGAGTAGAGTCCATGACCAAGGGTAAGGGTAGATGATGTTGCATAGTAAAGGCTAGAACAGTGAGAACCATGGTTGCACTGGCCAATACAGAGCCACCAGGAGGAATAAACATGGAGTGGTTTAGATTAGGGATAGAACTCTGGGGGGAAGTCAAAAAGAAGGGTAAGCATAGAGGTGAAGATCCTTCCAATCACAACCGAATGCATACATTCCCGGAGCTTGTAGGTGTGGAATAGGAAACCAAAATAAAGAAGTGTCCTGATGGGTAACAAAAGCATATATAAGGTGTCCCCCTCTGAGAACACACCACCAAAAGACCTGGATTGAGGGACTACTCCATGGGGAGAATCTTATTGGGATGAGATAATTGATCTACAAACAAATTCAGGGTGCCAGGAACATCACAAGCTAAAAGCCACAATATGGGCCAAAAAAAGGAGATCCAGGATCTGAAAGCACAGAGATCTGGAACTGGTACCCCCCTTGCTTGTTAATATAATTAACAACTGTGGAGATGTCAGAGTATACCATAACCAACCTTTCCCACAGGAGAGAAAGGAAGTGGGACAGAACTTGACAAACCGCCATAAGCTCATGAATGGTGATATGGAGAGAAGACTCTTTGACCGATCAGATACCAGAATCTCCAAAGAGTCAAAGTAAGCACCCATGGTCTGGTCTCTGTCTAACCATCAAGCCAGGTCGGCTCTTATTGGGGAAGGAAGAGTTTAAAGGTGGTCCAGGTGATCCGAGTAGAAGTTCCACTGATCTTGGAGTGTCCACTGCATGTATATTAGCTTGACCCTTAGGAGTTAGAGCTTCCAAGTAAGCCCACATCCCCCAAAAAGATAGAACCTCTTAAGCTGAGAGTGAATGTGAGGTGAGAACCTTGTAAACTGCTTGCTCCATATCAAGGACAAAAATTGGTTTCTAGTATAAAAAAAGTAAGAAATGGAGCCAAAGCTCATAACAATTTTGTGCTTGTTATAGGTTTCTTGCCATAACTTTTAAATTAGTAAGAGTATCTTCACAACATTTTGTATATTATCAGCAAACAGTACAAGGCTTTCATATGCAAAATATCAGGTTTTTTGTTAAGTTTTACAATTTCTAAAGTAATGTTTTTCTCATGCCAACTATCCAATATGCAACATAATTTTGATTTTAAGATTAAAAATACTTTTATGTATCAGAACTATTTTTACAAATAAGTTCTGAACACTTATTTGTTTTAAAACATAGAACAGTAAATAAAGAAGTATAGCAAACAATTATCACTCCTAGTTATGAACTATGCTGCTTGCCATAGGTTCCTAAGCCTCATTAAATTTTACATGCGGCAGATGTGAAATGAAAAAAATTTTAAAGGTTTATATATATATATATATATATATATATATATATATATTAGTTAATAACAAACAAACATATACATACACTATATACTACTATATTATTATATACTACTATAATTAGTGTCGT